CCCCAAAACCCCAAAACCCCAAAACCCCAAAACCCCAAGTAATATGAAATATATTGGCATTTCTTTTAGGTAAAAATTTCGCACCAGAGTTTAGACACTTGATCTATATGCCAGCTCTTTCTGTGCAATTTCCTCATAATTTTGTTTATACTCATCATCTGCTTCTGATAGAACAGATCAACAATCCCAAACTCATTGAGAGTCTCTGTTCTGACCTATGAAAACTAAGAATTATGGCAAATGAAAGTCTTACCTAATAAAGCATTTACTTGGCTTGATGTTGAATCTTCAGCATCTATTAATGAAGCCTGAGTCCTGGCACTCTGCTTTCTCTGACATAAAAATATGGATCACTCTGTGTAGCGATCTATGAGTCCATAACCTCCTGTGATATCCTGTAAGTATTGCTTGAAATCAACCAGAGTTAAGCTTAAATAAGCGTAAATTATGAATGTAATTTGCACAATAACAGCTGCAAACAAAGAAATCAATGTTCCAGTTTTGTTATCTGGCTCATTCATAAATTCACGCATAATATCACTCACAATTCTTCCATAAATAGATTCTCTGATGCTGAAGGTTGAGGTTCCAAAAAAATATATGGCACTCATTGCTAATAATACCAAAATTTTTACTCGGATCTGTTTGTAATAAAAGTTTAGATTTTTCTTGAGGAAATACATGAAAATGAACGATATAGTGCCTACAATCATGAAGAACAGCCCAAACAGACCTGCTTTGGTGTAGAATAGAAACCCTTGCATACCTTTAGATAACCCTCATGCAACTCCTGGGGCAGGTTTTATGAGAGTGTCTCAATACTGGCATTCTCAACTGCAACCCACATCAAGCAGAAATATCAAAATCATTATTGTAAGTGTGGTTACATGGACTGATAGGACAGCAAAGACACAAATTTTTTCGATTTTCTTGATTCTCTCCCTAGCTATAAAGTACGGATAGGTCTCGGTAATTTTGGAGTAAAAATAAATATGAACAATTAGAACAATCTGGCTCGTAAAGTTAAGCATGACGAATCGGTACACATTCACATCGAATGTGTACAAGAAGTATAATGAGTAAGGTAATTTGGAGTCTCCTTCATAAATAAGCCCTTTGTTTAGAATAGGACTCAACACAAAAATTACAATGCCAGCTACAAAATGTGTCATAAGGTTGATTAGCCTTGCCATCATAAGATAATCCCTCAGAAGTGCCTTTCTGGTCTTGTGAAACAATACCGATGCATAGTAAAGTCCAAGTATTGAAATCAGGATTGAAAATATGGTCCAGAATAAGACCCATGATTCATCTTCAGTCATGTCTTTATTATAAATTCAATTCTCGATGAATAGAGGGGTTTTGGGGTTTTGGGGTTTTGGGGTTTTGGGG